GGGGGAGAGAGAGAGAGAGAATATATACACACAAAAGCTGGTCATTCCAGGCCTCTGCTTACATGTATCATCACAGTAGATCATAAAACCAAATGCTATTAGTTACCAAACCAACTCAAACCCTCCATAAAGCATGCTCCAGTCCCTCTCCCAGACCAAGAAAAACAGTTCACCAGCTGGAAGAACATGGGTCCTCCCAGATCTCCATCCTCTGACTCATCCCTCTACTCTGTTCCTGCTGCCTGCACATCTATTGCTTAACTGTAGGGTGAGATCAAAGCTATGTCTACTTGTAGTGAGACTCCAGACTCTGAGCCCACATCGTTTCCTTGTAACTAATATAGCCTGAAAACCTATGCGGACTACAGAGAGGACAGGCTACTGTGAGAATGGCTGACCCGAGCTGACTCCTGTGTGTGCACACGCTCATTTCTGAGACTACAGAACCTTCCGTATACATGGGGTGGCAAAAACAGCAGCACATTCTCAACTTTGCCTTATAATCTGTTTCTGCCATGATGCCAACAGCCCCAGAGACCGAGAACAGCCAACTCAATGGCGTTCTAAGCCACTTCTCTGCGTTGTCACCGTCGCCAGCCCTTAGCCAAGAATGGTGTTCTCCTGACAGGCAAAGGACAGATACACAGCTCTACCCACCAGGTTCTGTGCTTGGGAAAAATACACGCGATCATCCTAAAACTCAGTTAAGATCCCAAAGGGAAATAACAGATACTTGGCATGCTGAAACCCAGGCATGACAAACATTCTCCTGGATTCCTCAAATAAAACCCCAGCCTTCCCCAGGTCCAAAAGCGCTGATGAAAGTCAGCTGAGCAGTGACTCAATGGGCTGCCCCCTAGTGGCAGCTCAGACTGACATGCAGCCTAGCCTACTGAATTCTTTCATCCTGGAAACCAACTTCTCTTAAAGTTTAAGAGTTCTCATTTGAAATGGATCTTTCTCGGTTACTACAACAAACAAGGCAAAGGCCCACAAGAAGGTTTGAGATCCATTTTGCTTCCAGATTAGTGTAAGGGCAGCTTGGCATTGCTGGAGTCGGGATGGGTCAGGGCAGCTGGTGCCTTTCCAGTGGGCTGAGACGGACCGAGGTGTTTCACCTTGGCAGAAAGGAGCATTACCTCCCGGGGTCCATACTATCACCCCAAGGAGACAAACCTGAAGAGAATGAGTCAGCAAAAAAACAATCAGCTTTGAGAGATCAGGACAACTGAGAACTAAAACAATAAAAACCTGGAAGTTGCTGATAAGGAATTAAATCAAGCTGGATTCAGAGTGGCAGGAGGGACTCCATGCCAACACCAATTATAATTCTTTCCTCCCCGTGGGGAGCAACTGCTACAGGCTGCAGATAGGAGGTCTCCAGCGAAGCTCTTCAACGTGAGGTATACATACATACTGCCGGGCACATCCACAGGCACCCGAGAGCTGTTTCTGTTTTCTAGGCAGCAAGAAAGGGACTGGCCTCCGCAAGTCTCATGTGCATTCTAGAACAGATGGCAGCCGCAGGGCCTGGCAGACTCCTGCATCTAATGGATTTGTGACTCTAAAGGAGCCCAGCACTGATAAGGGGGAACAAGGAATGAATTTACTTGTGTTACTGACCCTTCTCTGTTTCTGTCTTGTCTCCTCTGAGGATTTATTTATTCATCTATTTTGAGTGATTAGGGAAGGAACCTAGTAACTCCCACATACTAGGCAAGAGTTACTTACTGACCCACAAACCTCAGCTCCTCACTGTAGATTCTAGGCATGCACTCTACCACTGAGCTATGTTTCCAACCCTCTTTTGTACTTTATTTATAACAGAGTTGGAAGTTTTATTAAAGATATTTCAATATAGGCTTAATCATGGGGATTAGGAGAAAAAGACTAAGAAGAAAGTAAGGCACACCCAAGAGCACAGGTTTGGCTCTGCCTCTAGGGCCAACCACACTAGCTAGTGAAGCCGTGTAAATAAGCTAGGATTCACTACCTTGAGACTACCATCCTGACAGGCTTCAGAGCTCCCTGGAAAGCAGAGCTCCGAGTGACGTCCTCTGAGACTCAGAAAGGAGGAAAATAGACCAGGAGGCAACCATTCTCAGCCAGCCAGTGAGGCTGCTTCATAAACTAAATCTTGAGAGGAAGCAGGTCAAACATGGGAGTCACATGGGAGTCACCCTGCTTTGACACCTAGGATAAGAAAGGGACAAGCACAGCAGCTAAGCGGAGCCCCTTCCTCATATTCAGAAACACAGCACAGTGAGACAAGTTCTCTGAATTCTGGCCAGAGGGATTCCACTTTGCAGCAAGCCATGGTATTTTTGCACGTCATACTTCGAGGAGAACACTGTGATTCCCATGCTAAACAGTGTTTCCTGAGACCAGTAGAATCTTGGCTAAGAGCAAGACATAACTGTGCAAGGCTGGGTTTCATTCTGTATCTAGGCCGTGTGAATCCATGGCCACCTCAACGTTAGGCATCTCTCTGGACTTAGGCTTGTATCAGTGTTGTCCCAGACTTCAACAAAGATAAAACAGGATCTAGGCAAGAACGGGGTTAGTGACTCGGGGAAAATGCAGTCATCCACATCCTCCACTCCCTAAGCAAGCACTATTAACTCACTTTACTAGGACGAACATGAACAAGCCGTTCTCTGGGCTGTCGCCGTGCACCCCAGGAACAGATCATCTTACATCTCCTGGAAAAAGCCGCCAATCGAGAGTTCACTCTTCCTTCCCCGCACCCCAGCATCTGAGTACAGCACTCCTTATGATGCAGACAGCATGTCGCCCAGGACGAGGAGGGCAGAAAACACGGGAGGAAAGGAAAGCAATTACAACTCCTCTGTCTGTAAATAATGGGATTTGCAGATGAGGCCAGGAAGCCATTCTGCTTCCTGCAGCAGCAAAGCGGGCGATGGCCCCACTGTCACCTCACTGCAGGATGAGTCAGCCCCACGATAACCCGACTGGAGACGGTTGGAGCTGGGGGTGGAGGAAGAGCTGAAGAAAACTGGCCAGAAAGAGGAAAGGACAGTATTCCTCCCAAGCTCACATCCTTAAACTGGCCTCTACTGTAGGAGCAGAAAGAGCAAGAAACAGAGTCACATGTCCGGCCACTCGACCCTGGGCAGGCACCTCCTCTCTAAACACGTCATTTGTCTTTTTCTCACAGTGGTCCAGCGAGGACCAATTTTTGTGTTTGGAAATGAAGACAGGAAAATTAACTACCACACCAAGATGGGCCCACCTATGTGGCCACTGTGCCTAGACTTTGCTAATTGGTTCTATGTTTTCCTTCTAGGAATCTGAGCCTATGTGACCACACCTACTAAATCCTGGGCGAAGAACCTCTGAGTGAGAGAAATGTCCTAAGTCAGTTGCTGCATCTACAAAGCTAGGACAAATTCCTAGGACTATATCTGAGTCCTATAGTCCCTCTAACCAGCCTCCACATGCGGAGGAGTTCTGAGGACACCGAGACCTAGCAGAAGCCAAGAGGCGATCGTAAGAATGTCTGCTGCTCCAGAGGCAGCAGAAACTGGGAGAATGGAGCCTAAAAACACAATAGCTAACTTTATTCAGAACATCAGAAAATTTCCATCCTGAGGGTTAAGGTCACACGAGTAAAGCTCTTGGGAGTTCAAGCTATATATAATCACAAGCACAAGCTATACACGGCAAAAACATGGTTTTCCATAAAGTCATATAAACAAGTAACAGTCACTTGTAATGAATAATCTGAAGTAAACTCGCTCCTATCTGCTACACCTGGGAGGCACGGACGCACATTCCAAGAACAATTTTGTGTTTTTGGAGAAACTGAGGTCACAAGACTCTTGTCTAGTTTTCTTAAGAATTTTCTCACGGGACTTCATTCCTGGACTGTGTTCCGACAAAGGCCTGCTTTGGTCAACGCTAGTTTCTAGAACCAAAGCAGGGATAGAGATTGCGATGGGGCCATACAATAAAAAGTCCCAGTCCTAGGGGCTGGAGAGTTGGCCCAGTGGTTAAGAGCACTTGCTGCTGTTGCAGGACCCAAGTTCAATTCCCAGCATCTAAAACCGTTTGTAACTTCGGTTCCGGGGGTCTACTGTTCTCTTCTGGTCTCCAATGGTACAAGGCATGCAAGTGGTGCTTAGATACAGACATGTGGGCAAAACACCCATACACATAAAACAAAATAATAAATTACAAAGTCCCAATTCTGGAAAGGGAAAAGAAATAAGGTTTCTGAATCTCATGAGAGTTGGTCACTGTCTAGAAGCTGCTCTGTTTTCATTATTTCTTATCACCACATGCTAGGTCCCACCCTTTTAGAGGAAGAGATTTGGGTATAGACCGAGGTCACACATTCTGGCCCAGGGCTGGAAGTGTTCTTCCCAGCACACTTGCTGCCGATACTATGGCCAGCTTTCCCAGCTTGCCAGGCTGTTTGACTGGTCCCAGACCCACCTGCCAAGAAAACAAGTGTTCTTTGCAGAGCAAGAGCAGGAAGAGATGCAGGGTATTGTGGACCAAATGATCCATATTACCCTTGCTTGGTGTTTTCCAAAGCACCTACCATTACAACTTCACTTAACCCTCAGCAAGAGCCAGGGGATTAGAACAAGGTCAGGTACTTCTACTCCCTGGCGCCTTTACAAGTGAGTAAATCCTTCCTGGATAAATGAACAAGCCTGACAGTCACGCCCTGAATCTTCATCTTTCAATCTTTGTTTTTCCAATGGGAGGCAGAGATAGAACCCAATGCCTCCCACGTGCTATGCAAGCACTCTGCCACTGAGTGGCATCCCCCACACTCCTCTTCCTTGCAAACCACCTGCACGGTACTGACCAGTCAACAAAGAACTCCAGGTAGCCTTCATTTGGCTTCTCCAGTTTCGGTGTTCCCATTTCTGCCTTCACTCCCACCAAGATGTCTGTATGACCCTGCAGACACATACAAGAGTCCTTGCTCAGAAACGGCCACACTCCTCTTCCAGGCAAGCACGGTGTTGTGGCTTGGGCTACGGGAGTCTGAGATGAGGGGCGCTTTGGATCTGGAGAGATGTGTTCTCCCAGTGTGGCTTAGGGACTGGGTCTCCCCAGGACCAATGTGTACCCTCCCAAAGTCAGCAGGGCCTGTAACCGACCCTTGAGGCTTACCCACCTCTCCACCCGGGTACGAACAGTGCCCACAGCACTCACCAGCTTGACTCTGGCAGACCCGCTGGTGTTAGACACCACATCTGTCTCCACCTCCACACATCGGTAGTCCTCACAGCCACGGCCATCCACCCGAAGGTCTTCCTAAGGGAACAGCAGCTTTCAGGTTGTGATCCCATCTCAGACAGATTCCCTTCCTCCCCTAGAGAAATACAGCCAATCGCCATTTTTCTCAGGGGGTCACCCCAAATTCTGCCCTCACTATTACTAACAACACTACCAGGTTAATATAAGGAAGAGACTCAGGTGACTTATCCTTCACTTAATTTTGACAAAGCTATGGTTTCATGTCAGATGCATCTGACCACAAAGGCCTGCAATATTGGATGTACACAACACATGCACAAAAGCAAGCAAAATGGACAAAACAACAAAAAAGTCACCCCAGCCCTCTCCAAAACCTCAAGGCTATGCTTCACTGGAGCTGCAGACACAACGGGAGTCCTGTTCACCCCAAATTCAGTTTACAAGACCTGTTATGCACACCCTGAATACTTCACCTTCTAAAACAGGGTCAACACACTAATGCAGGTGAGTTTGTTTCTGTGATTAGGTCACAACACAGCCATGTCCGTTCCCTTAGGCACTCTGAATGCTCTCCCAACATTAGCTGAGGGGAACTCCCACTCGGTCCTTTATAGCAGCACTCCATTAACCCTGCTGCATGAGACGGCACCAGAGTAGCTACATGCTGCCTGTCCCTCTGTCCAACTACTTGTTTCCCGTTGTTTACAACAGCACAACTCATAGATGTCCATTTTATGTTGGATTCTAATCTAATGTTTGTCACTCAACGCATGTTGGTCCCTTTAGGCTGGCTCTGTGCTCTCAACTCTTCCATATTTCTGACAATACAACATGTTCTGGCAATTGGTTAGCTTTCCCCAAGGAGCCCTGGTTCCTCTTACTGGCATAAAGAACTCAAACAGCAGGATCTGGGTGCTAAGCTTGCTGTTTCTAAACCTTCATAGCAAACAGAATTGGAAAACACACACACACACACACACACTGATTAACGCATTTAGTTTACACCTATCAAGAAGCTAGGAGTTCAAATTCATAGGTCACTTCCATCTAATGTCCATAGTTCATTCCAGACTTCATTTTTCTTCTTTGTAACTCTCTTCTCTGAGTTCCACTACCAAATCCCTAGAGGTGGAGGAAGGGAGCAACCTGGCTGTCATTATCTACCCCCGACTTCCATATAGTCTCTCTCTCAGTATATACATTGTTTCAGAGCCGCTAACCATTCTCTCCATGGGAATAAACTTCCCAGTAGAACACAGTTAGATACAATGTTCTCGAGTTTTCTTCTGCTCTTACTTCTCTGTGGTCAGTTTTCATTTGTAACTCAAACTCATTTGCAATCATTTATATTTCAGTTTGGGCTCGCTGAATCCTGGTTACTCTTAATTACTTATTTAGTCTTTCATGTGTACGGATGCCACTATGTATGACTCTACCAGTCACATAAGCTCAGAGTAACATCTTTTGTTTTATCTGCACTATGTTCGTCTCACTGCTTTCCCATCCACCCCTGGTTAATGATAGGTTGATAGGTCTCTCATTAATATCTGGTTTATTCCTTCCTTCCTTCCTTCCTTCCTTCCTTCCTTCCTTCCTTCCTTCCTTCTTTCCTTTTTGGTTTTTCGAGACAGGGTTTCTCAGTAGCTATGGAGTCAGTCCTGGAACTCACTCTGTAGATCAGGCCGGCCTCGAACTCACAGAGATCCTCCTGCCTCTGCCTCTGAGTGCTGAGATTAAAGGTGTGCGCCATCACTGCCCGGCATTTATCTTGTATTTTATCTATTCAAATGAGCAGATAAAAATTTTTAACTGCTTTCTTTTAAAATTAAGCATTATTACAAAAAGCATACTTATGTAAATCTGGATTTTGGACCCCACTATAGAAACAACGTGGCTTTCTTGTGATAATGATCTACTTTTGGGTAATAATTCCTTTTTCATACATGAAGGGTAACATCATTTTATTTACAAAAAAAAGATTTATTGTTACTCTACGTGTATAAGTGTTTTACCTGTGTACCACATGCAAGCCTGGTGCCCAGGGATGTTAGAAGGCAGCACTGGATTCTGGGAAGTAGTTAAATATGGTTGTAAGCAGCTGTGTGAGTTCTCTGCAAGAGTTGCGAGTACTCTTAACCTCTGAGTCATCTTTCTAGTCCTTTACGTATTCTTTTTATACTTCTCTTTTTTCAAACACACATTGCATACAATAAAATGCCCCAAACCATCTCATCGAAATCTTCCTCATTTCTCATAAATACCCTTGAAAGTATTTTTTATTCTGTATTTTTAAAAATTAGATTTTGTGAGTCTTTTTGCCTGCGTGTATGTTAGTATGTGCACCATGTGTGTGCTTGGTGCCAGAGGAGGTCAGAAGAGGGCATCAGATCCCCTGGAGTTAGAATGATGGGTGGTTGTGAACAGAACTCTGCAAGAGAAACAGATGATCTCAATCACTGAGACATTCCTCTAGCCCAGGAAAGGAAGGAAGGAAGGAAGGAAGGAGGGAGGAAGGGAAGGAGGGAGGGAGGGAATAAAGGAAGGAGGGAAGGAGGAAGGGAAGGAAGGGAGGAAGGAAGGGAGGAAGGAAGGAAGGAAGGAAGGAAGGAAGAAAAGAAGGAAGGAACAAAGGGCTGGAGAGATGGCCTGGTGATTATGAGCACATACTGCTTTTCTAGACTTGAGTAGGGTTCCCAGTACCCATGTCAGGTGGCTCACAAACACTTGTAACTCCAGCTCCAAGGAATCCAACGCTTCTGGCTTCTGCTGGCACCTGCACTCACTTATGCATATAACCACACATATAATTAAAAATAATAATGAACTTCACCAGGTCTTCAGAGGGGTTGACTCTCTCGAAAGGAGGGGAAAACAAAAACTAATGCTCTTAAATATATGACGATCAATTCTTATCTTTAAACTGTCAGGCTAACTGCCTAAGTATCTGACTTTATTTTGAGAGGTTAAACAAACAGAAAAAGCCAAAACATTGCTGCATGCCCCACTGCACAATAGCACACTGGCCATCTGTCATGTCTGTGTCAGCATGTTAGCGCTCTCGGCAACCACACCTAAATCATGCGGAAGTCCACGTGCAGCCACCCACTCAACTCACTCTTTCACTGGGAGAAATCCGCTTGCATCAGGAGACATGTGTTTGGAAAGCAGCAGAATTTAATATTTAGGGAAGTGAGCCCTCAATGAGCTACTCTTTACTGGCACATCTACTAACTTGGTGTCTTAAATCCCCCCAGCCAGTGAGCAGCATTTGAACTCAAGGCCAGAGTTCTTATTCACCCACCACTCTACGCAGCCTGTACCTCCTATAACGGTCTCTCCACTTTACAGTCAGCACAGACAACCTTCCAGAGATGAGGTGGCCAGCTCTATGAGGTCGCCCTGATCAGGACGGGGCTGACTCCGAATGCAGCAGGCCACACCATCAATCACAGGGTTTCAAGGGCTGCCTTTAAAATGTCATCCTGTGACTTGATTCCACGTGGGGACCTCACCGGACCATGCCCCTCCATCCACTAATAACCTTCAGCCTTCTAGGGAAGGCCAAGTGGATGAGTGAGAGGAACGAGAACTTACACGTTTTCCTTTCATGTTTAACAGAAGTTCCAGTCCCTCCAAAGTAACACAAACAGAAAACAAGAGAATGAGAGAAAACAACCAGTCCATGCATCACTGAACTGTGAGCAGTTTAAAAAAATTACTTTTCCTTATAAAAAATGCTGAGGGAAGTGTCTGGACCTGTCTGGCTTGGTTCAGCACCTGAAGCCTTACCATGCATTTTATTTATTTATTTGCAGTCTGAGGAGCAAAGGGATCAATCTATATATTGAATACTTAAGACAGTCACCCAAGACTGAAGGCTCCAGTAACAGGGAAGGAAACAGCTTCTGGGCATCATGATGGCATGGACCTTGCTCTTCTCAGCAGGGACTGAAGCACCTTAGACTGGAGGGTTTTGGCTGCTGGGCTAGCTCCTGGAGACTTGCATAGCTATTACCTTTGTCATTATAACAACTCTGCTACCTGGATGTGGTACAAGGCAATTGGTGTTACTACTTCAACATAACCAGGGTGACTCCATACTCAAAGGCAACCCTTTCATTTTCCTTATTTTGACATATCCAGTACCTCATCATTTCTTAATGGAGAACTGAGATTTAAGTGTCTTCTTAGTAGAAAATAATCTCACCTGGCCCAGTTTTGCGGGACCAGGCCCAAGAAATGCCAAGTAAAACTAGATAGCAATTGTTACTTCACTCTCCAATCCTCCTGAGCAGCTCTGCATCCCTTTGAAAGATGTGGCCCAATAAGGCCACAGGCTTTCTGTGCCTCGGGTTTGTGAATAGAAAGAGCAAAGAGCTAAACTGGAAATGTGCTGGGGACTGGTTCCCGTTCTGATTGGTCAGACTGAGTAACTGACGGCTTCTCAGTCTTATCTTTGAAGACCAGACACAAACATAAATTAAGCTAAAAGGTAAAGCCACAGAAAAGGAACAGAAATACAGAAAACATCAGCCGAGCTATGTCTTCCTCCAACAGCCAAGAACAAAGCAATGAAACAGCTTTGACAGAGCCCCAAGAGGAAAGTCTCTTTGAAAGCCTAATCAACAGTCATGACCTAGTTTGGCTATGAGGTTACAGTTAAACCACTCAGTAGGATAGACAACGAATATCCCATGTGGCTTAGAGCTCTGGAATGGCCACCTGAGTTACTACCCATCCTCAACAGGGCCAGCAGAGGTAGGTGTGTAATCCAAAACATGCCACACAGAGGGTGATCAGCTCTTTTTGCAAGGAACCACTAGCAGCCCAGACCAATTCTTTCAGTGGACTCACATCTCTGGAGTTATTAGGCGAGCCCAACTTGGTGGCACACACCTTTATTCCCAGCACTTAGGAGGCAGAGGCAGGTAGATCTCTATGAGTTCCAGGAGAGCCAAGGGTACATAGTGATACCCTATCTCAAAAAAAAGTAAAGAGTTGTTAGGCCATGATGTGATACAGGGAATGGAGAAGTCACGTGAAATTAAAGGTACAGGAATGGAAGGGTGGCAGATTTCACCAAGATGGAAGGGAAGCTGGGTACAAGTGGTCACTGAGAAGGAATACAGCTTGGGAAAGAAAAGCAGATGAATCACCAGTGACAGTTACTGCTTGTTATTACGAAGAAAGTATTCTGCAGCTGGATGGAGCTTTCCAGTTCTTACAGTGAGCCTCCTTTCCCTTCAGGTCATATAACAGTTCCTATCAATTTGAAGAATTTAAATTCCAGCAGCTTTTAACACAGTCACCGTGAAGACTAATGATGTGGCATGAATGATTTAGGACAAAGCCACATTTCAGACAGAAAAAAAAAAAACCTGAAAGGGAAGCAACATTTCCCCCCAGGGCTGACCACCTTATTTTTACATCCCCCTCACAACACCATTCTGCATATAACCCACTGTTCCTAATCTTGAACCGAAAAGCTAATGGTGGTGGGCTTGGATTTTATTAATCAGGCTTAATATGCAACCTATTGACTAAATATTGGCATTTCTACCCTATAAGAAGCACAGAAGAGAACAGAATGTCATAGGATTTTTAAAAAAGACTATGGCCGCCCCTTGTATTACGGAGTTTAAATGGCGGCAGGTTGCCTTAATCTGCCGGCTACATCGTAAAATCAACTGCAGGGAGAAGGCTTGCAGAATACCAGTGAGATGGTTGCCAGGTTAACACTCTTCACCTCTTTCTCTTGAATGTCCAAAAGCAAGACTGAGTACATATCATGTATTCATTATACCTACCCAGAAATCTAAGCTAAAACAGCGAAATCAATAACTACACCGCTGTTTACCAGTCTCAGTCAGGCGGTGATGGGGGCAAGCCTTCTGTCGAGGCAGAAGGGCTAACGTGAGTTCCACAACAGCCAGGAATACAAAGACGAGCTCCCCTCCCCCGTCTTGCTACCCCCAAAAACGAGAAAAGAAGGGCTGGGAATGCGGCCCGGTGTATAATACCTGCCTAGCACGCACAAGAACATGAAGATAAACCCCCCAGCACCGCCAAAGGAAGAACAAATCACTCCCTCACTCTTCTCTATTTGTCAGCAATACACATGTGTCAGTGCGACTTTTCTTGAGTCTGGGTCTTTATAACTCAGGCTCGCCTTAAACTCCTGATTCTCTTGTTTCCACTTCCCAAATGCCACCAACACCTTCTGCATGCTAGGGCAAGCTCTCCACTACTGAGCAGCTGCGGTCCCTTCTCCACCCTCTCACCCCCGCCACTCCCTTTTTGGAGTGGGGGAGTGGGAGGGTTGCTGTTAGTTTATGTTTTAAAGGCCTTTCCCCTCGGATGCATGGTCTCCATCTCTCTCGGTGTAAAGCCTGAAGACGTTCATCTACGGGGGATTCCGGTTACTGGATCTCAGGCGCAGGCCCCTCAGCGCGTGGAGGCCATAGGACATTCCTCCATTGAGCAGAAGCCTCTAGAGAGGCCCACCGCTCCCTGATAAGCTAGGAATGAATCTCCATCCCGAGAGCTGTGGAAATCGAGGCATGCGGGATGCACGCTCTCCGCGGACCGCAGAGGCCTCGGAGCGTCGGTCTCTGCCACGCAGCCGCCCCGCACCTCCTCCCTGAGCGCTAGGGCCTGCACCCGCGGCCGCTACCGCTACCTGCACTCCATGAACTATGTAGACCTTCTCAGCCTCGCTCAGCGCCACCGACGCCATGCCGCTCCGCTCACCGTGCGCGCTTGCGCGTCATCAGCCTGCGCCCTTTCCCCACGGTGCTGCGCGTCATCAGCCCGCGCGGCGGCCGCTCCCGCAGGCGGGGTTGCCGCCACCGCCTGGAGCTCCATGGGCCTCTCCTGCGCGCCGCCCGGTGTGAGGCCGAGTCCGGCGAGCCGCGTAACACGGTGCCCGAGCCATCGCGGACGCTGGAGGCTGGGACCCGGGGTAGGGGCAGCGGCTGGCGGCGTGGGACTGCGAGCTGCCTTCAGATTGACGGTCAGTACGGAGAGGAAGCCCCGGGAGGAGGGAGGCGCGGGGCCCCAGCCGGGACTCGGCAAGAAGCGCGCACCCTTGCGCGCTGGGGCCGGAGTCGAAGTAGCCGAGCTCGCGCACGTGAGACGCCTCGGGAAGGCGGAAGTCGTGCTGCCCGTGAGGGACCATCTCCTAAAGTCCCTTAGTTGGTCCTTAGGATGGCTGAAGAGACCATGGATCCCTCGTTAGGTCACTCTGGTCGGGAAGGGTCCGAGCCAGGAGTGGGGCGCCGGCTTCTCAGTTTGCTCACTCCGCGCTCCACTCCAGGGATCGCTGTCCTCTCTTCCCTTATCCGTTCCTCCCTTGCTGCCCGTCATCAGATAGTGACCCAGGGCTTTGTAAGTTAGTTTCTGGAGTACTGTCCCAGAGAGAGTAGGGAGCGTGAGTGTCTTGCGCTTCGAAATGCCTAGCTGGAGGAGATAGCTGGGAGAGACGCATGGGCAACTGCCTGAAAGAGAACCGACCCTGGGAGGATTCGGGAATTGGATACCCAGAAAAGAATGCCTGCAAGGTGAAGCTGGGGTCATCATGGGAGCCCTTTAAGGAAGAGTGATAGTGTATGAACCGAGTTTTAAAGGAGCGATGTGGGGAAATGGGGGGAGTTGGTTGACACTTCACTTACCAGATGCTCTATTTTTGAGGAAAGTAACCCTTCACACCTTAATCATCAAGAAATAAAAGGTGCGGGCCACACATGCCTTTAATCCCAGTGCTTGGGAGGCAGTAGTAGGCAGATCTCTTTGAGTTCAAAGCCAGTCTGCGTTACATAGTGAGTTCCAGGACAGCCAGAGCTGCGTAGTGAGACCCTGTCTCAAAGAACAACAACAAAAATAAAGAGGCTTTTCTTCACTTTGGCCTCACAGTTAACTGAACAATAAACGGAACTTCTGATCAAAGACTCTTCCAGGGCAGAGGGGAAGGCTCCTGTAAGCATAGCCGCAGAACATTGTGATTAGAGATGTAACTGAGGATTAGCGGCTATAGTGGGTGAGTAGCAGGAAGTGCCTGACTATATTCCTAGGTACTAAGCTGTTAACTGTGGAGCCCTCAAATGGATGGTCTTTTCTCACTGATAGACTGGACATGAATTTACTGTGCGCACACACAGGTGCTCCTGAGAGAAGACTTCTTGCAGGGTTGAGCTTTGCCCTCTTGGGTAACTGGGCAAGGCAAAACCGGAAAGGTTTTCTTCCTTTTGTGGAGGAACAGGTGCCACACTTAATACATCACCTACACCGTATCTCTCTGTATATTTGGTTGGACAACTAGAATCTGTGAGGAACTGGCGAAATAACAAGGACTCCTGCTCTTAGGGTACCTTGTGCCGGAAATTATTGGGAAGGCAGGCCATTTTAATTGTATATGGTGGGAGGCGAGCTGAAGGTTAGGAAGATGAGAGAGAGAGCAAGTTGAGAAGTCAGAAAAGACACCGGAAGAAAAGTAAAGTTTGACCAACATGGAGTCATTTTCCTGGGGGGGAAAAAATCTTTCAGCATGTCTTTAAAAATACGTAATAGTGGTAGAACACTATCGTGTGCAAAAGGCCCTAGGTTCCCTCACCAGTACCACACACATACACACACCCTACCGTCACAACCAACAACAGGTTCTTTGTGGAGAATGGTCACTTTTTTGGTGACTAATTTTCTGGGTGGTGTCTGATATTAGGTTCAGAGTCCTAAGGAAACATAAGACGTGGCGTTTATAATCTCTGCTAGAACTCTGGTGCTCTCCTCAGTTGCTCCTCCTAAGTGCTGCCAGGTCATCTTCACACTTGTCAGGCGCATAGACATCTTTAACGCTCACCAACCCATAGCTCTGTTTTACTGAAGCAATTCAAAGAACATGTTAGAACCAAAAAAAATAAAAGAGCCAAGGATGGCACATTGTATTGTAGGTTTTTTGGTTTTGTTTCATAGTGTTTTGTTACTGTGTCTTTTATAAAACCCTGTGCTCTGTTAATTTTCTATGATGCTGGGTGATGCTTTTTGTGTGTCAAAAACTATAAAGATTCCGTTCTCAAAAGAGCCTTATGAGGACAGGCACAGAAAACATAAGTGTCTGAACAAAGTCACAGATCACAGAACTAGTAGTAAGTAACAGAGGCAGGATTTGAGGGGAGGCCTTGTTGCTCCCAAACCTTCAGTCCTAAGTGTCAACTTCTATAGCCCCTCACAGTCTCTGTGATCCATCAGGAGACTTAATGCAGAAAGCCCATGTTTGTCTATCATCGAGTTATATCCCCAGGCCACAGGTTTAATTTCTAAAGCAAGGATGGATATTCTAACATGAACTCACTTCTCTTGAATCCTCTTTAGAGGAACATGGAATGTGATGTTGATAAGTCTTGTGCCTGTTTTAGCCCACCTCTTCAGATAAAGGGAAAGGTTATATGCAAACAGAGTAAAGCTATACTCCACAAGCAGCTAAGAGAGCCCTCCAGGATCTGAGAGATCCGGGAAGAAAGAAAGGGTTGACTGTAATGTACATGCTTAGAGAGCCAAACATTCAGGGAGTGTTCTAGTGCCTTTGAATGCCTGCCAGTCATGGACCTAAAGATGTGAAAAATCAGGCACTTGTTTATTTATTGTAGCTGAGGTGTTCAGGCCCTTGAGCTAGTGCATGAACCAGATGGTAAAATGAAATACTTAACTGAGCCAGTTAGTAATTAAGGCTGTAATAAGGTGCTAATTGTGCAGGCCAAGTACCAGGTACAAAAGAGAAAGAGCTGCTGCTACCAGCAATAACATTATGTAAAGCAGAAGTAAATACATCCCACCCACCCGGTTCATTAAAGCTGTACAAGAGCCTGGAGCACGGCTGTGAACTCTTAGAGACTCAGCCTGGGAGGGGGGCGGGTATTTTATGCCCAGTCCTAGGCAGACCAAGGCCAGATTTTAGGTCTTTTTCTTTGTACCTTCGGCCTCACAGAAGAACACAAAGTGAGCTACTGCTTTTCCTAAAGGTCTGTTTGCTTTGCATACTCTGCATTTGTCCCACCTGGCCTTGTATGAGTATTAGATATAAACAGCCTTTCATAATCTAACCATAGGTCTGTATGTCTTGTTCTAGATCTTGTGATTTAGGATTATAGTGGTAGAAAAATTGATGAGCCACGCATATTCCCCATTAGAGGAAGTGTCTGCCATGTTTCATTTTAAGAAACTGGCCTGCCTGTCCTAGTCTCATGAAGTCATGTGTGAGAAAATGAGCCACACACACCAATTTCCAGGTATAGAATACACATTTAAGAGCTGTGCTCAGGGCTGGAGAGACGGCTCAGAGCTTGGGAGCACTGGCTGCTCTTCCACAAGTCCTGAATTCAATTCCCAGCAACCACATAGTGGCTCATAGCCATCTATAATGAGATTGGGTGTTCTCTTCTGGCCTGCAGGGATACATGGAGGCAGAACATGATACATAATAAATAAATCTTTAAAAATAAAAGTCTGTGCTCAGAGTCTGAGGTCTGAACTGAGGGTAATTCTTCAGTATTGACCTAGTAAGGAAAGGAGGTTGACGCCATGCTTCTGGCAGTTACACCTTTGAAGATCGTTTGCTCTCCTCTTGGGAAATTTCCTCAGACACTCAGCCAGGTCCAGTGAGAGAGCCAGAGGCAGATATTCTTGCTTTCACCATCCCAGCACTTGAGAAAAGCTAGGAAATCATATCTTTATAGTCTCCAAGCTGTAGCCTTCAGGATGCACAAGCACTTGATTGAAGTCTGGATTTTGTTTGCTGAGGACATTGTCTCACATTTGGGGCAAGGGGGGTGCTGAATACCTTTATGTGAGTACCATCCCTCACCTTAACAAAGTAAGGCTAGTGCCCACCTGGCCACAGTCCTGCTGTAGTAAGTCTTGACCTTGGCGTATAAAGTCTCTTTCTAGACCAAGTCAGTAGCAGAATCCAGAAAGACAGGCTGGTTAGGAAGATACAGATCTGGTGAACAGACTCCTGGGCTGCTTCTAGTGGTGTCGACTGGATTCGCTGCTGATTGCTTTGTTTCTATAATCTTAGCATCACTTTACTCCCAAGCTAGTTTCTTGCTAGATTGTAAAACTCAGACTAGATCCTGGATGTACAAAGATTTAAATATCATCTAGATAGCTCAGTGGGTAAAAGTGCCAGCCACCAAGCCTAACAACTTGAGTTTGACCTCCAGAACCCACATGGTAGAAGGAGAGAAATGACTCCTATGAGTTGTCCTCTTACCTTTACATGCATTGTGCGTGATCTGTGTGTCCACACATGCATACGCACATAAATTAAGTAAATAAATGAAGAATTAAAAAGTAAACTCTGAGCAGACAGACCTCTGAGTTCAAGGCCAGTCTGATGTTCATAGTGAGTTACAGATCAGGCAGAGATAGTGAGACTCTATCTCAAAAATAATAAATAAATAAATAAATAAATGCCAAAAAATGGCTCAAAATGGTATTTAACTTAGAGTGCTTGTTTGCTTATTTAAGACAGAGTCTATCTCTGTAGCCCTGGCTGTCCTGGAACTCTGTGTGGACTAAGGTGCCCTAGAACGCAGAGGTTTGCCTGCTTCTGCCTCCTGGGGGCTGAGACTAAAGACATGTGCCACCACACCCAGCCTAACTTTGGGTACTTCTCACATTTATCATTTTGTAATATTTGGTGGTTATTTTGCTGTTGTTTGTTAAGGTGTTTGAGGCAGTCAGGTGCAGCCCAGACTGTCCTAGTACTCACTAGGATGATCTTCCTGCCTGTACCTCTCAAATGCTGGGATTAACAGGGTTGTGCCACCACACTTGGGTTGTTGGTACTTGGGATTAAACCCAGGCCTTTCTGGATGCTAAACAAACACTCTAGCAGCGGAGCTCCCATCCCTGTTTGATGTAGTTTAATAATGTGTGTTTATACTTGTAAAAACTAAACTGCTTGGGAAAATCTAACAATTAATAGTGAGTTTCTTTTGAATATTAGTGAAGGATAGG